AAATACGAGCACTCATTTGAGGTGAAAAACTTGGGAAATTTTCGATCGAAGACTTATCCAATTCCTTATAAGTATCGGCAAGAAGTAAAGCAAGAAATCAAAAAAATGTTGGAAGATCAAATCATTGAGAGATGTGACTCACCCTATATTAACCCAATTGTGAAAGAGAATAGACGGAAAGGAATTATATTTAGTGACACCGACATTGGCAGAAAAAATCATAAAGAAGCTACACGAGGAAAATGGACATATTGGCAGTAGAAAGGTATGGCTTGTGTTTAGGGAAAACTACATCAGTCGACAAGATTACCGCATTGCAAAAGAGATCACACAGAAATGCGAAGTATGCCAGAAATACAAGAGCAGGAATTTTAAAAACGAAAATATTGCAAAGAGCATTGTATCCCGGAACAACCTGGACATTATAGCCATCGACATGTTAAGCGATCTAATTGTGACCACCCAAAGGAACAAGCATATTCTGGTGATGGTGGATGTGTTCTCAAAATACGTGAAATTATATAGTTGCCGCACCACAAAAGGGGAAGAAATATTGAGAAAAATAGACAATTTCATCGCTACGGTAGGAACCCCAAGAAAAATTTTACTAGACAATGCAACGTACTTCCGAAATGATCGTTTCAAGGGACAGCTTAGAGAACGGGGAATCGAGACGAACTTTGTAAGCATCAGGCATCCCCAAAGTAATCCTTCTGAGCGATTTATACAAGAGGTAACGAAATTTCTTCGCATTGCAACGGATGGTCAACATCGGCGATGGGACAGAAAATTGGGAGAAATAGAGATGTACCTAAATTCCATGCCAAGTACAGTAACGAAAGAAACACCAGAATACATCATGAAAGGCGTCATGCCGATAAGACCGTGGGAAGATCCAGAACAAAGAGAGTATCGACAGGTTATAGAAACGGTTCAGAGGAGATTAAGAAGAAGCAATGAGAAATACATCCAGAGACAGGGTCATAATAGGAAACGAAGACCAGTAACTTTCCAAAAGGGTGATAAAGTAATGGTAAGAGCATTAAGAGTGTCAAATCTTCAGAGCGGTATTTGCGCAAAATTGATGCCTGTTTTCGAAGGGCCATACATAGTAAACAACGAAGATGGAGTAAACAGCTATGAGTTGAAACATATGGATTCTAAAAAGATCAGAGGTATTTATAATATCCATGATGTATATAAATATCACGAATGAAGATTTAAATTTGTATAAAGTAGATAGTAGGATAGGATAATACGTAGCATAAGTACAGCTAGCATACAGGAAGGGCGTTTTAGTTTGCCTCGAGAAAATTTAGTGCATAGATTGATAAATTTTATCGATTACAAAGGCGGGGATTTGTTGTACTTTTGAATGTCCATAAGCAATAAAAAACCGATATACAAATTTCATTACTTAAATAAAAATTAAAATTATTGATATTTCATAAAGACACGGGCATATAAATTTTCAAACATCCTGTATAAGACAAAATATGTATTTTAAGTTGTTCGAAGAATTGTTCATTAGGCCTCAGAGACAAGACTTTCAAATATTATCGATAAGAAATTTAAATAAGTCGGTTATTGTGGAATGGATTTACCCGTAATAAAAGTGTATATAGAAAGTGTTTAAACAATAGAAAGGGATGTGCGGTGGTTTTTCCCCCCGAAAGATTATATCGGTAAAAGTTTATTAACAAAAGACATTGAATTGAGAAACAGGTATCGTTTGTAGCTATTAGTAAGAAATATTTGTAAAGCAGATAGATTTAGCTAGAATAATTAAAGAATGTTGTTTTCTGGAATTACCCGAATGACGTTTTATAGAGAGAGTTGGTTGGTAACGATATACGTGACAGAGGTAGAAGATTTTTATTGGTCAATTTTTGAATGCAAGGAGGGAGTTGGTTTTAGCTATGAGATAGGAGAGAGGAAAGGAGTTAGTCAGTTTTCGTCGCCCAAGAAGGAAGGAGCTTTGTGGTTTGTGTTTGTTTGAAGTCCCGAAGACGTAATTTACCGGGTGTGTTTATTTGCTGTGTAAAAGCTGATCAGTGTGAGGAACGGGGTACAGAGAGATAGAAAAACCAAAGGGTATAAGAATATTAATATCAGACGAAGCCGGAAACATTTGAAGTTATAAACAGGCGCGGAGATTGGTTCAAAAGGAGGCTGCATAGAATTACACGAGTTGTTGGGTTGCAGATACAAGGACAGATAGGAGAAAGGTGTACGTCTTCTGGACCAAAATAGGAGCAGAAGCAGAGAAAGGTTTTTTTTTATGGCGTGGCCATAGAATTGCAACGGCAGATAACGAAAGGTCAGTCAATTTTCATTAGAGCAGGAGTGTGGTTTTCATTTATTAATTAAATAAATTGAATAAATAATAGAGACAGTTAATTTTGCGATCATTTAAAAAAAAAATTATAAAGAGAGCTTAGTTATAACACATATTAAAAATCAATGTAAAATAACATTTGGGTCCATGATAGAAAACAACTTCTCATATATTTAAAGTATTGTATTGCAAATATTACAGGATTGATTGTTATATAAAATTTCAATAAAATAAAGGACATCTCACATATACTTCAGGTGAAATTCTGTGTATTTTATTCAGGTCATATTACCTATCCCAATTAGGAAACCAATTGGAAAATATTTTGAATCCACGATCAAAGGTAAATAGTACAAGTTAAATAGCCTGAGATTGTAATTAATTAATGCTGATTTATTGTGATTAATTGGAGATTAGATCATTTAATAAATATAGACTGGATCTTTTCTAAATAAGCAATAGAATACAATTTAAATAGCATAACAATATATATATATATATATATATATATATATATATATATATATATATATATATATATATAGATCAGGCTTTGAAAAAATGGTATAGAAAATGCGGAACATTGGGCATACCAGTACAAGAGACATTCACTACTTTTCGCTGATGATCAAGTTCTTTTTGCACAAGACAGGGAGGATATGGAAATTCGAAATTAGTTTAAGGATTTTAAAAATAAATTACAGGATTCCCAGGAAACAACTATGGGAAGCAATGAAAAGAATGCGCGTTAGAGAGAAATGGGTGAATATAACATAAAGACTGTATAAAGAAACACAAGTGCAAATAAAGTTAGGTAATGAAATAACAAAAACAATCACCGCAATAAAAGGCCTCAAACAGGGATGTGGTCTCTCACCTACACTTTTTAACATATATATATATATATATATATATATATATATATATATATATATATATATATATATATATATATATATATATATATATATAGATCAGGCTTTGAAAAGATGGTATAAGAAATGCGGAACATTGGGCATACCAGTACAAGAGAATATATTACATTCACTACTTTTCGCAGAGGAGAAGTCATTTTTGTGCACAAGACAGGGAGGATATGGAATTTATGATAAGGAAATTAAAGGAAGAATAAGAACTTTGGGGACTCCAGATAAATATGTGCAAGACCGAATACTTATGTATTGAACACGAGGTTGCAGATTTGAACGTAAGTTTAGAAGAAGAGACTATTATGAGTTGTAAGACTTTTAAGCATTTAGGGTCAATGATTAGCCGAGATGGTACTTATATGAAAGATATAGACATGAAAATAGCACGGGGAAAACAAGCCACAAGAGCACTTCATGGAGTGACATGGAACATCACTCTAACCAAAGAAAACAAAAAGAGGATCTTTCAAAGCATAGTGATGAATATTATCCTATATGGAGCGGAAGTTTGGCCAATGACAACAATAATACGAAATAAAATAAGAAAACTTGAACTGGACTTTATGAGAAGATGTCTAAAAATCACAAGAGCGGATAGAATAAGAACGGAGGAAATATGGAACAGAATGGAAGTAGAATGCTCAATTACAAAAAAGTTGGAAAACGGAGCCCTGTAGTGGTACAAGCATGTACAAAGAATGCCAGAGCATAGGTGGCCGAAAAGAATATTAAACTGGGACCCGCCGGAAAAAAGGCGGAGAGAAAGTCATCTCTGTTACAAGATGAAAAACGTACGTCGGAAATGCTATGATAGATAGAGACTTCAGAGGTGACTGGGGAATAGAGTACTGTGGAGGACGAAAACGGCGAATTCATAATGCGAAAAGCCGAAGAAGAAGAAAAAGAAAAAGAAATTACTTTCTAGATTTGTTATGCTCAAAACAAGAAGCATAAGTCAAGATATAATTAACGCAATGAAACAACGCTGAAAAAAAGAAAAATAAGCGTCATTTGAAAAAAAAGCTCGAAAGAAACGTCGCCTAGAAGAAAAGAAACCTGAAGAGAGACGTAGTCAAGAACGTTGCGTCATCAGGAAGAAAGAAAGTTGCTCGTGAGTTTTTAAAATAAAGGCCTCTTAAAAATATATAGACCTAAAAAGTGAGTGAGAAAGATATGAAAAAAGAAATTAAAGAGAAAACAGTAAACATGTTTAAAGAATTTGAAATTACAAGACGTCTACTACCGAAAATATATGATGAGGTAACACTTGAAAATATCCGCCTAGAAATTGAAAAGACCAACAACATGAAAGTTGAATTGTTGGTGAGAAGTGATTTGCTCCCCTGTCCACCAAATAGTTAAGATTCCTAAGTGGTATAGGGGCGGTATTTTTCCAAATACAGCAGGGTGAGGAACACGCTATTATATACTTCAACAAAATTGTGGGAGAAGCAAAAAGAAACTACTATATTACCGGCAAAGAGTTATTAGTAGTCGCCAAAGCAGTGGAATATTACCATTCGTTCCTCTATGGCAGAAGATTCTTAATAAGAACCGACCATTCCACCTTCCAATGGCTTCATAATAGCACTTGTATCCTAAATAGGACATCTTTTATTCCCAGATCTTTCATAAAACCAAATTGTGTTCGAATTGATCTCATAAATATATATACAAATTCTTTTTTCCCGCAGCCCAAATTTTATTCATTGGTACTATTTATTATTCTTATATTACTCACCAGCATTTAAATTCATCTTCGCCACTCTTAAAAGTCCAATATCGTTTGCAATTACGTTAGGATTAAATTCAGGATGAGGAATAACTTCTTCTATCGCCAAATTTTGAATAGGATCTTTAATACATTTTGTTCTTCCGTTTTGGTCTTTAATACAGTCTATTCTACTACTGGTATTATATTCTCCCACTCTTACATCCAATCTAAAAAGCAAATAAAACAATAATCTTCAAGTATTGTAGCATTTTATTTTGTAATATTGATTCGGCTCCGGCGCAGCGTAGGGGTTTTAAAATAAGCTTTTTTACTAATCGAAGCAAGTTGTCTTGGCAGTTTATTTATTTATAAAAATAGACTAGTTCCACACTACTACCTGAAAGACAAAAGGGCAAATCAAGTTATTTCAATTTAAAAATTTTGAGAAACGACAAGAGTGACAGATTGGGAGGGAGAGGGAGAGAGAAAAAGTGGTCAGAACTTCTGCAAAATGAATTATCATTGAATAAATCGTAGACGTAAGGTAAAAGTAGTGGTAAAGAGTTAAATTTCTGGTTGCAAGTTGATAACACTCTAAATTTGAAGAGAAAATAAGTTTATGTGGTTAGCAGCATTGAGAGTCAGATTTATTGCAACAATAACACGTTTTGTTTTAAGTAGATATTTCGTCATCTTCCAAACTTTACATGTAAGTATTATAGCGTATAAAGTTATGTTCTTGATTTGTACTATTTCTTTAGTGTTATATACCTATTAAAAGTATAACTTAAGAATGTATAAATAACATACTTTTCCATTTTCAGAATGTTATTTGAGACTATGTCAAATATTTACGATATGTGGGGTGAATATAAACATAGTAGACAGCTATTTCTATTCACACCACAAATTCAAAACCCCTTATTTTTTTGTTTTATTGGTGGTAAATAGAAATGAAACATGATAATAATTTAGGATACCTATTATACTTGACAAAATATCTGATATACTTGTTTACTTTCAGCATGCCAAGGAATTACAAATCTGTGAAACCGAAGACAATACAAGATCCAGAGGTTCTTAAGAAAGCCGTAGCAGAGATCAGCCTCAGGAAAGCAGAGAGTACATATGGCATCAACTATAGTGTCTTTATTGACGTTTAGAACGGGTGATCAACTAAAAATGGGAGGACTGCTTTGACTGGAGAGAAGGAAAAAAGTATGGGGCTATCCGATTAAGTCGTTTACTCTAAGACTTTTATATAAAGATTCGCTTGACCGCCAAGGCAAGACCATAAAGCAGGGGTGGCCCACTCGTCGATCGCGGTCCCTAGGTCAGTCGATCGTGAACAAGGAAAAAAATATCGGAAAAATAAAATAAATGTTACAATTATTGGAGTGCTAGCAATCTTGCATCGATCATTGCGAGCGAGTTATGAAGTCTTATCTGTACATAATACTATAAATATTATAGTATATGTACTATATAGTGACTAGAAATGGGTAGCCGCTTTCTTTCTCCTTTCTTTCTGCTATTTTTATCCCGCTAGTGTAAGAGCGAATCACATCATGGTAAATCATGGTAAAAGAAAATTGTTGCTGCTTAATCTGCAATACATCAGTAGCAATACCGAAAAAAGGAAATTTAGAGCGTCACTTCAACACAATGGATGGTAAATACCAATCAGTTTCCACCTCAGAGTAAAGTGAAAAAGAATAAACTTCAAGCATTAGAATCTCTTTTGACTGCCCAGGAAAAGCCGAATGAACCGTCGAACCGGCTGTAACTGAAGCTTCATTCTTAGTTTGTTATGAAATTGCGCAAGTATAAGCCGTTTTCTGATGAAGAGTATGTAAAAGAATATTCGAAGATTTTTCAGAATTACTGTTTGTTAATTTCAAAAATAAAAACGAAACAAAAAAGTATACATGATCTGCAGCTGTCAAGAAATACTGTGATGCATCGTACAGAATTGTTGAGTAAACATCTTAATGAACCACTGCAAAGAGATCTACTCCGGTGCGTTGCTTTTTCATTACAGCTTGATGAGTCGACGGATGTCATGGATACTGCACAATTACTTATTTTTATTCGGGTGGTCTTTGATGATTTCTCAACAAGAGAAGAGTTTATTTATTTAGTTCATTGATTTATTCACGGAATTCAAACATTGTCAGTAAGAATAATTTACCTTTATTTAAGCTTGTTTCAATAACAACAAATGATTGGTGTTAGTAATGGATTTATATCACTATGTCACAAAGATGAAGATTTCCTGGACTTCATTAATTATTTTTGCTTTTTTCATCAACAGGTCTTGACCAGTAAAAGTTTTAACACAAAAGACGTGATGGATATTGCATTTAAAATTGGCAATTCAATAAGAGGCAAATCTCAGCAAAGACGGCTGTTTAAGTAACAACTGGATGACAAAGAACCAGATTTAATCTTACACGACGACGTAAAGTGGCTAAGGTGCAGCAAGTTTTTGTAACGGTTTCGAGATTTGTTAAATGACATTATTAAATTTCTTGAAGAAAAGGTTGATGATCGTCAGCAATTATGTGACTTCGACTGGCAATGTGATTTGGCATTTCTAGCAGATTTCACTGGTAAACTGAGCACATTGAATCTAGAACTGCACGGCATTTAATTACAAACAAAACATTATCAGAAATGGGTAGTTCTATTGCATGATTCAAACTTTAAGCAGTATGTTTGATAGTTGATATTGTAACGAGAAGTTTTCTAAGATTTACAAACAATAAATATCACATGGAAAAACACCCTGCCTATGTTTTCAAGCCATAGAAGTATACAGCAGAAATTTAGTCAGTGGTGTTATTGTGATATCCGTTTTAGAGATTTCAATAAAATTGAAAAGTTGGTCGAATTTATCAATTATTCATTCAATGATACTGTTCATAACACCTTTGCAATATCCAAACAATTTGCAGAGATATTAAAAATAGAACAACTTTTTCTTAAAAATGAAATAATTGCTATGCGCTGCGATGTATTTTTGAAATCGAGATGAGGTTCACATCTAGATTTCTGGCCATTGATGTGCAATGAGAAATATCCAAATTAAAAAAAATATGCTAGTCAACTGCTGTCATGGTTTGGTTCAACCTATTTATGTGTCTCAGCGTTTTCGTTTGAAAACAAACGAAGAGTAAGCAGTGTTTCAGCTTGACTAATGCTTATAAGTTGGATTCTTAAAGGTTGGTCATTTCCAACTTCGGGCCAGACCTTAAGAACCTAGCAAAATATGTTCAAACGCAATTCTTACTTGAAAAAATAAATAAATAAGAATTATTACTTTTGTTTAGTATTCGTATTACTAATACACACTGCCGAACAATAAAACTAATCCATCCAGAATTTTAGCGTTCAAAGCCAAATCGGTTATACTCACATACAAAATTTTTTTAGATCTCGAAAGCAGAGTCCTTCAGAATCAGTTATTGATTTTCTGAAATATAGTGAGGGACTCTGAGATATGCAGCTCACTTTTGACATTAAAATTCTGTATTAAACGTTTTATTGCCCGCCAGTATAGTTAAAAAATTCTTAATCGGTAGATCGCAAAGAATTAGAAAGGCAGCCAGTATAGTTAAACAATTCCTAGTCGGTCGATAGCAAAGAATTAAAAAGGCGGACAGTGGATTTAGAGTCCGATTAAGTTTACAATTTACCTGGTCGAGAGTTTGTCTACTCTTTCTTAAAAAGACAGCACGCTAGCTTGTCATTCCAATTGTGTCAAAACATAAAATGAGCCAGAGCAGCCATTTCTTTGGAAACAACTAATGAATACTTTGATATACATGGAGTGGAACTCTTTAACATTCCTCCATCGAATATAATCAATTATGACAAAACTAACTTATATGATGATCCAGGAAGAAGCAAAATAATAGCTAGACAAGGATGTAAATATCCTGAAAGGGTGATGACTTCTACTAAAAGCTCCATCTCAGTGATGTTTTCTGCTACTGCTAGAGATTTTAAAAAGACTGATTTTCATTATTTCCATTTGAGGATTATGAAAATTTTATCAAATATATGTCATCAGTAGCAGACACATCAATTCCTTGGACCTCCTCTCATAACAATAAATATCACATTCCATGGTGGGATAATTTATGTGCTCATATAATACAAAAGAGAGTTTCAGCTATTAATACATTTAAAAATTCTCCTAGTGTTGAAAGCTATATAGAGGCTAAAAAATTCTAAAATTTCTAAAATTAAAGCGAAAAATAAGCTCTAAATCCTTTTGTAGTAAACTAAATAGAAATACTTCCCTTAAAGATATTTGGAATAAAATTAACAAGATTTCTGGTAGTAAATTGTCTGTTTTACCTCAGGGCTCCCCTCTAAGTCAATTATGTTATTTATTCTGTATTCCCTATCTTTGTATGATATTATTCCCAATGATTCTAATCTGATACAGTATGCAGATGATTTGGTTATTTTGGTTAGTGGGGCTGATCTATTTAAATTAATTAATTCTTTGAACTTATTAATGGAAAGGATGGATCTCTAGTTATTAGAACACAATTTTAAGCTATCTTAAAATAGGTAAGTCCTCAGCAATTATAGTTCTAAAAGCGAATCGTAAAGTTAATCCTCCGAACGTAAGAATTAGAGGTCATGCAATTAAATGAGTGGATACAGTGAAATATTTAGGGGTAATTATTATTATATTAGGGGGGTTTGATACAGAGAAATTTAGATTATGGATTTTAAATATTATCAGATTGTCCTAAGGTGCTAATCAACAGGTTAGATAAATTACAATATAAGAGTATTTGTACCATAACAAGATCTTTGAGATCTACCCCTATTCACGCATTGTTGGGTGAAAGTGGTCAAATTCTTCTCAAGTGCAGATGGGAATGGCTTAATTATAAATTTTTTCTAAAAAATCTTATGCTAATTAATAATCCAATAATTTCTGCCTTGAATCAATTTCAGATATCAATGCAATCAAATCACATTTACTGGAATAAAAAAAGTATTCCCTTCCCCTCTTGGTTCTCATCATAAATAAATTCCAGGATACCCCAAATTCATTTTTTAGTGACTTATTTCCGTGCCACAATTTTGAATTAGAATATTAATTAACTTATTTCCCTATTATAGGAACGTGCAATTTAATAAAGGTGATGAGCATGCATTCATTCAATTTCAACGAAACTCACTTGACAATCCCCTTTACACTGTAATCTTTACAGATGGGTTAGTTGATAGTAAGGGCTCAGCAGGATTTGGTGTTTTTTGTCATGACTTTAAATACTCATACTTAAGTAAACTCCCTACTCAGACTCAAGGTTGTACTCAGAGATTATTGCAATTAACCATTCGGTTCAATTTATTTTGGAGAAGGATATCAAGAGGGCCTTAATCTTGTCTGATTCTAGAAGTGCTATCCAAAAGACAGCAAAAACATCGTACTCAATGGAAACTGAACATACCTCTACCATGACCAAAAGGGCATTTATAGATGCCAATCAACAGAACATCAGTATTATTCTAGCATGAATTCCAGGACATTGAGATATTAAGGACAATTGTGTTGCAGAAAAATTGGCAAACATAGGAAGATCACTAAAAATGCCAACCAAAGTTAAATTGTATTATTCAAACTATTTATTTCATATTAACAAGCTAATTTGGACTCGACGGGCACAAAAATGAAATTCAAATAGATCAAAAGGATCGTTTTGTAGTAAAATAGTCAATAAATGGAACAAACCACCATAGTTCAGTCAATTTCCTTATAAAGACAGAAGGAATATCACCATGGTAATTAGGATGAGAACAGAACATTGTTCCACTCCAGTTCATTCATACTGTGAATGTGGTCAAATTAGATCTCTGAATCATATTATCCTAGAGTTTCCAATAAACGTTTCTCTAAATTTTGACCTCTACAAAGAATTGGTTAAAACAAAACTACAAACTTCTATAGAGATTTGCTCTCTCCTATCTAACCTTCATCCTCAATAACTAAATTTGTTGATTACTTTTCTTAATCTAGCCAAAATCAACATATAATATATATATATATATATATATATATATATATATATATATATATATATATATATATATATATATATATATATATTCCTTTCTTATTTTCTACTATAACAAAACCTTACAAATTCCTCTTTTTTTTAGATCTGGGTTCTCTGACTATCATCCGTTTCCCATACCATTTCTGGTATGTGTTCAACTTGGTTGCCACCCCCAAATATTGTCTTTATTATACTAACTGTTTGGCCCAAGAAGAAGAAGTTTAAACACAGTGTTCATTTAATATAAAATAAATTCAATTTAGTGTTATATGGGGATATTCGATTATATTATTCTAGCAAATTATTCGCTGGGATATTATCCAATAAGAGAAGAAGAAGAAGAATAAGAAAAAGTTGTTTTTTTTTTGAGTAATTCACGGTGTTTATAATAATTTTAAAGGTAAAAATAATGTCTTCTGGTACAGAAAGTGTCAGTGATCTTTTTGATGACACCCATAAATCCAGTGACAAAGATTATACGCCAATTAAAATAAACATAACCACAAAATTCAGAGCATTACAAAATATACTGATTTCGATGAGACCTTTAGCTCTAATGGAGAAAATTAAGAAGCCGTCCCTAATATTTCGGAAGGAATGAAAAAAGAATCATCATTTAGTTACAAGGTAATATTATTGGTTGAAATATGAAATATAAAATTGTTCGAGCTTAAGCTTTTACCAAGTTTTTAAAATGTTGTTTTATGGTACCAAGTTCGCTGCGATAGGACGGCACGGAAATTTTGCAAAAAAGGATTTCTTTCATTATATGGTATTTCGAAAGAAAGACCTGAACGTTTACAGAATTACTTATATATAGGACATGAAACTCCGGTCGGCACTGATAATAAGATACGTGAGCATGTACTTAGTTACACAAGATACAAATGACATTAGGGTAGATCGGGGGAATCCCGACACCTTAACGCAATTTGAATTTTCAGATTTATTATATATTAGTTAGGTTTTAGATGAAAATATCTACACTATAATTGAAATTTTTCGCAACCATTATGTATGTAATATTGGTAAAACAATGTCATTTACGTATTTAAAACAATGTTTCCCTGCAGAGTGTCGGTATTTCCCCGATCACCAGGGTAATTTCGACAGACGTTTGGAGTAATGCCCACAGTAGTAATAATAAGAAAATAATGAGACAACTGATGGTATCGCTTTATACGAAAACATTAAATACTTGAACGAAAACAACATTATGACATACAAATACATTATTAAATATATTAAAAATCAAAAGTTGTTTCTACAACAAAGAACTTAGTTCGTAGAACAAAAGACACACTGATAGTTTTCAGGGCAATCATACCCACCGCACATGCGCCCACTGTCCACAAAACACTCATATGTACAATAGTTCAGTTTTTACCCCAAACTCACAACAAACCAAACACATTTTAGTTTTTTCGGAAAATAATTCAAAGAAACTGTAAATTCGTTGTCATCATATATTTTTGATTCATCTATATCTTTTCCGGAAGACGATTCTTCAAAATTAATTTGTCTTCGACACCTTCTTTGTTTATTTGTAGCTTCGTGTTTTAATGTACCCAATTTTATTTGGAATATATTTTTAACTTTTAATTAAAACTTTCACTTACTTTTTTCACTCGTCTCAACATTTTTTAGTTTAAGATTAGGGTTGACCTTCGGATCCTATATAACTTTTTTTAGTCTACGCTTGGCTTTTAAGTCTCTAATTTCTTTTTCTTCTTTGTGTTTTCCGAAACCGTTTTCAAAGAAGTGCCAGTCATAATTACTAAGTGTTGTTTTCTGTAATTTTTTTGTTGGTTTATCATTATTAAATGATTTTGAAAGAGGTGATACTGATTTCAAAATATCTTTAAAATGAGACAGATTCTCAGAGGATTTTGGACAAGAATTTGGTACAACATTCGTTTTTGAACTACCAGGTAATGGATTTTCATAAATCCCATTTAAATCAAAGCTGGTTGTTGTCTTGGTTTCAAATTTCTGTACGGTATCTTTTGGATTATGTTTTAAAATATGACAAGTTTTGACACAAGTTTCGTTAGCGCTTGCAAGCTCCCCAGTGACAGTGATATTATGATTGTGTTCAAGAAGAGTTGCACCAAGTGCTGATTCAGAAACATTTTCACAGTCAACGATGATAGGAGTTTAAGTATCTTGTTCAGTGACAAAGTCTATATCAGTATTAAAAATTATCAAAATTTACTGTTTGTATTTTGAGAACGATTTCCGAAGTGGAAATTGAAACGTCAATAAACGTATTTTTATCTTTAATTGTGGCTTATTCCCAGTTAAATAGTAAATAATTTCCTTTATCCATCATTGAGACTTTTGAAATCTCCTAAAGCTCTGGAGGGATTAGGAAATGCCGAAAGGTCTTAATTCCAATGAAAGAAAAAAAATAAATCTGTAACCTCCACGTGATAGAAGATGGGCAACATCTATCTATAGATGGCCAATGCATGTAGGGACCGAGTGATTGCCGGTATAAGCAATCTCTCACTAATTATGATTAGTGATTAGTATTAAAATTATGTTTTATTTTTAACTTTTCAGCAAGATCATACGCAAGCCTCCATAAGTCTGTCAAACTAATGACATAAAACTGGTTTGATAGGTGTCTGATGTGATCAGCTAATATAGCTTCTTGTTCTGCTAAAAAGTAGGTACGACTTCCTTCCCAACACTGGTTTTTTGGTAGAATTAGATTTTAGACGGTCGTGAAACGTAATTCTTAAAATATTTAAAGGTCGATTCAGACACATTAGTCACGTCTCGTCACAGTCCTGGCGCCGAACCGAACAATCTGTCATACAAAATATTCTTTAATAGAAATATGGCGCCGGCATTCACATTCATTAGGCGACGAACAGTTTCCCAGCTGTCAGATAATTAATAGTTCTCTGGTTCCCTGTCCGTTGTTCTTTTTCTCGATTTGCCATCTAAAACACATCAAAAGCAACGTCTTTGGTTGCTGTCGATATTTTCCCTCATGGGTGTGTGGGGCGGCATATGCTGGCATTATCCCTGTAGGCCAAAATGGCGGTTACACAATTCTACAGACTTAACTGACTGTTAAAATGAAATATGAACCATATTAAAATTATCTTTATAATTTGCACTTTCTATTTATCTAAATGTTTTTATAATAATATAGTTTGTTATAGGGTTGCCTCATTTGTAGAGAAGTCAATAATTAGATCAAAAACCAATAAAACATATATCAATTCAGAATAAAATAACTAGTTTGCTTGGATGTCAGAAACTAACTGAGCGCTAACTGTGGTGTCACTCGCTAAGTAGCAACACTATATAGTGACGTATTCAACTAAAAATAAAACCAAAACCCACTGTGTCGGTATTGCCCCGTATGTGGGGATTCCTCCGGTCTACCCTACAATTTGACAGATAACTTGCAGCACTATTACCTCTCCCTCTTTTAAATATTGCAAAAATGCACAATGACTTCTACAAAATGAAAATATGAAATCGATTGTAAAGTATGAATATTATATAGAAAATTTTGTTACAGAGAACTTTAAACTATTCTTCGGTAAACCAAAGTCAGATACCTGTCAGAAGTGATAAGTTACAAAATCAAATTAATGCGCCGATAACGATGATCAAAAAAGAGCATTGGAAACAGAGAAAACGTGCATTTACAAAAGCTGAAACTTTTTATCAAGACATGAAAGATAAAACAGATTTATATAAAAATGATTTACAAGTAAAACTTCCAACATTCGTTTTTCAGCAAAATTTGCCGCTTCCAGTGTCCTCGAGTAGTAAGTTTTCTACAAAATTCAACTTTGGGCATACAATTTTTGTATTGATGTGGGAAGGTCTGGAAAAACTTATGTTTATTTGTCCTAGATATTGTTACCCATTTGCACACAGCTTTTGTGATAGGTCATTTCATGATTACAAACTTGTTTATGAAAAGACAAAAGATCGCATTACGTTACGCTGGTAATTACTTTTGATTTATGAATTATGAGTGTTCCGATTATTTTTATTGAAGCTTTCTGAAGTAAACTTTGTGTCTGCTGCATCTATGTATACATTTTATTAAGTGGCGACTCGTTTTGATACAGTTTAGAAATTCTACGCAATAGTTATTGGAATTACTTACAGTGGTGCCTCTAAACGTGTTAGGCAATGGGCAGCGGTAAGTATATATCTATTATTAATGATAGTTCCACCGCACTTAAACTCTGCACCTGTCTCTGTAAAAAAATAACAAAAATTAATAATATGACCGTAATTAAATTTTAATGCTAAGATTCTAATATCAAGTATTTTGTGATTATTTTATTATGTTAATTATTTGATTACAAATAAAAAAAAACAATATATTAAATAACCAATACAGTAGAAATATCAAAGTAGCAAAATAAATTAAAATAAGAGATTTTCGTTACTTAAATCACTTTGTGATGCCAACGAATGAGCCAGAATATTCAGTACTGGCTAGTATCCAATTATCGAGATGATAATATGTAATAGATAATATAGATACACTAGTGTTCATAACGATTACGCACATTTTGAAATATGTTCTGAACATGCTCGAGTCCTAAAAAAGGAGACGATCTTCTGATGTAATTCAGCTATAGTTTTGGGTAAATTGACAAATGACAGAAATCCATATCGTTCAAAGTTGACTCCCATGGAATAAAAATCGAGTTCTTTCAACAAAACTGTATAATGTCTTCTTCTTAACGTGCCCTATCAAGTCCCCTTGACGTTGGCGATTAACATAGCGAAACTGTCTCTGTCTCGAGCTATTTTAAAGAGTTGCTCAGCTTTCTCTATTCCTGTCCACCCCCTGATATTATTCAACCAAGAGGCCTGCTTTTTACCAATTCCTCTGCGTCCTTCGATTTTACCCATCGTACCGATCATACCCAAAGTTGAAGAATATTATATCGGTCTCCCCTTACTACGTGTCCAAAATAGGCCGTCTTTCTACATTTGATGTTATCAAGCAGCTCGCGAGCAGCATTTGCTCTTTCAAGGATTGCCACATTTGTCAGCATAGCCGTCCATGGAATTTTTAGTATACGTCTGTGCAGCCACATTTAAAATGCCTTCAGATGATTAATGGTGGATATTTTTAATGTCCATGCTTCGATACCGTATAAAAGGACTGACTAAATGTAGCATTTAACCATGCGCTTTCGAAGTTGAAGTTGCAAGTTATCATTACAGCAGAATGACCTCATTTTTAAAAATGTCGTGCGGGCTATCTCGATTCTACATTTTATCTCTTAATCTGGATCTAGTTGTTCAGTAATATGGCAACCAAGATAATTAAAACTGGACACTCTTTGAATTATATGACCATCAACATATAATCGTGCATCTTGATGTGCTAAACGGCTAAACACCATGTGTTTTGTTTTTGAACAGTTTATGTTTATAGCCAAACTCTCTTTCCACTGTATCAATGGCATTTAAAAGGCATTGTAATCCATTCATGTCATCACTTAAAATAATTGTATCGTCTGCATATCTGATTGTATTTATCAGAATTCCATTAACTTTCACGCCCCATTCCAAATTATGCCGCGCTTCTTTAAATATTCTATCTGAATATAAATTAAATAACAGTGGGGACAGTATACAACCCTGTCTAACACCTCTTTGTATTTTACATATTTCTGTTGATTTTCCGTTTATACAAGCTGTCTATGCATCGTATGTCTTGACTATCAACTCTCGTTAAAATACTGTGAGAAGAAAATATGATGTATTGTGGGACCCTAAAATGAAACAGAAAACAATAGCAACTATTTTTAAGCAGTCCATAACGATGAATGAAACATAGATAATTAGAAAAAACAAAGATGTAAGAAGAATAATTAAGTAGATTGATAAGAGATTTGTGTTAATGATTTTAAGTGTTTCAGACATAGTAATATGTTTATTCCTACAGGAATGAGCATTACAGAATTTATATGTTAATTAGCTTATAATTTAATACAACTACTAAAAGATATTGATGGAATCGAATAATTCAGGTAAGAATTCATATTTCTTGAAATATTTAAAGAATGTTTACTGTTATCTTATATTATTTTTACAAAATGAAAGTCAAGCTGTTTTGTAGTAAAATTCCTGTTTAATTTTTATGTTTATAAGACATTAAGTTATAATATCGCCCCAGATCCGGTAATCCTGTTTATTTTATAGTTTATATACTGCATATGTGGCTGTTGCCTGTTTGGTTAATTAATACCGTACGATTTAGCTGCGGATAGCTGCGGATAATCGAAATACAGAGGTTTTTGTTTATTTTTTATATAGATGACGTCACAAAAATTAAAGTACTTAATTGTATTAAATGTAATAAGTTACCATTTTCTTTGTTTTAGCTGAATCTGATGCATCTGGCGTAAATAGTGACCTCTAAATATCTTTACGACCAAATAAAGCTTCAAGATTTGCCTAATTTAGATGATGACTTACTAGCTGTCATGGTGACACATTTGACAATTTAACCAGTTTAAAGCAAAGATTTCGGCATTTTAAAACGGTCATGAAAGAGAAGTGGTTATAAAAAGAAGCTTTATTTCTACAAACAATGATTTGATGACTCCAGTGAAAGAACAAAAAGAAGAAAAACAGAAGAAAGACGTTCTTTGCTTGAAGGGGAAGTTATCGTTCATGCAACACAATCAACATTACAGGCTCGAGGAAAACTAAATGCTTCAAAAATTGTTAAAATTAAAAAGAGATTACAAACTCTCTAACTCGTGCAGATAAATGTAGAGATTCGTTCAGGAAATTAAATAAAGAAGACATTACTGCTCTTATACCGTTGCAAGTCCTTGCAATGTTTGTTGAAGCTGATTTAACCAAACGACAGTATGAAATGACTTATTGTTAAAGGAAAAAAAACAATGCTACCTGCCAATGGATTGCATAAAGGATTCAAGTACTTGCGCAAAAAGCAGTTTACAAAGTTTAATAGATAACACCGTTCACCGCTTAGGCTAGGCGCACACACATCGAATTTAAACGGTCGATAAAAAATCGATCGAACTTTTGTCGATGATACACGATATTTATTCGATGACGTGTTTTAATCCATAAAGGTTTGTTAGGTGGAGTACACAAAATCACAATGAGCAATACAGAAAACAAAAGGTCGATGTGTGTGCGCGCGTTCATTTGGTAGTATACGTCTTGGAACGACGGCAACGACCACGGCAGCCGTCCATGCAGTGACATTCATAGATCGCCACACGACATCGATGCCGTGCCGTTTGGCGATCAATGTGTGTGCACGCTCACGTTTGTTTCTTCGCTCCACCAAAGGAATTTTTTCGATCGAACTTTTATCGACCATCCAAATTCGATGTGTGTGCGCCTAGCCTTATCAGTGAGGTTAGAAGAAATCTTTTGTTCTCTAAATGACAATAAAAGGAAGTCTTTAAAAAATATTTATAAATGGGGTTGTGACGGATGTCAAGAAGTCAGATACAAACAGAAATTTAACGATACCGTCCTCGCCTAGATATGGTAGACCTATACGATTCACGAGTAGCTTTGTTAAAAAAAAAACAGTTGGTGTAACAAACGAAGAGATTAGTTACGTTAAAAAATCTGCCAAGAACTTAAAACGTACTGAAGTTGTTTTGAACGGTAACACATTCATATTTGATTATGTTTTTAAGTTTAAAGATGACCATGATTAATGGCAAGGCTTGTAATACTGCAACTAATACAAAATCTACAAGTCGGTGTTATATATGCGGAGCGATATTAAAATACTTTAACAAAAGGAGATAGAAGGGCTCACAAAAAAATATATTCGGCAAAGATTTAGAAAAGAAACTGGATTGTTAATCGACATGCCAAAAACCAATTTCGGAAACACTAATAAAGGAAATACTGGCCGAAGATTTTTTTAAAATTTTCAACTAGCTGCCCATATAACAAAAGTTAATTTTAAATTCATATAGAAATTAAAGATTCTAGTGGAAACAATTGCAAGCGGTCATTAAATTGAAGTCCAACAACCTAATGATTATCCCAAAGCAACGGCGAAACTGTATGTCGATCTGTATGGATGACACCCTATGACACCGACCGTGCATAAAATATTAGTTCACGGTGCGGAAATAATCGAAAATGCCTTATTACCCATAGGCCGGCTGTCGGAAGATGCAGCAAAAACTAAGAATAAGCATTTTCGATTATACCGCGAGAACTAGGCACTGTTCTCTATTATATATATTATATTCAATAGTTTTACTTTTGTGTACCAGAGTACTACACTTATTTGTTTTTAATTTTTATTAAATTTCTATATTAATAAATGTATCTTACTTGTTCTATATCTTAGTAAAGCCATCCAAGGGAATTCGTTTAAATCAGCATTTTGGCCATTTCTAATCTTAAAACTTAGGTCTAGGTAACCGCAGTCAGGCGGTAGCAAATTTAAGTTTCTATGATTCGATACATCTGGTGGGTCTTGTTGCACTTCTAGGGTCGAACCATCTTGGACTATTATAGGTCCTTGTGGACAGCAAACATTGGCTATGTTATAGGCAAAGCTGTAAAAATAGCATATTTAAACATACAAAAGGAGTTAGAATACAAAACTTCTTCATAAATTTATAATTATTGCTCTATTCCTTTTTTTATAAATTTGAGTTACAAATAAAATCTTGCTTTTGAAATATTAAGGACGAAGAGGTAAAGAAAGCATTAAGGATTATAAAAAATAGAAAATCACCATGAGAGGACACAATACCGAACAAACTTCTAAAGTACGGAGAACCAGATCTAACCAAACAACTATTAAAACTAATCAAAAAATAATAGAACAAAACAAAATTCCTCAAGAATTGAGATCAAACATCTTAATACCTCCTTCACAAAGGAAGATAAATCGGACACAGAAAATTACAGAGAAATTAAATTATTAAACACAACGCTAAAATTAACAACCAAAGTGATAACAAATAAATTAAATTAAATAATGATAACACTAGCAGAAGAACAACAAGGTTTTAGGTCGGGAAGATCATGCACCGACGCTATATTTATAATGAGGTAAGTGCGAAAGAAATCAATAGAATACAACAAACTGGCATATCTATGTTTCGTGGACCTTACAAAGGCATTTGACCGGGTCAAATTGAAAAACGTAATCCACTTACTGTACGCAAGAGGGATACCCTGGGAATAATCAAAACTATAGAAAACATCTACCAAAACAACACAATAAAAGTAAAAGTAGAAGAAGAACTACCGACCCTATTGAAGTTGGTAATGGGGCAAGACAGGGAGATTCATTGAGTGGTCTATTATTTAACCTGCTTATGGATGAAATCTTGAGTACGTGGCACGTGGCTTGAATACCTCGGCCACGTGATGCGGAACGAAGAAAAATATCAAATTCTTCATCTCGTTATGCAGGGTAAAGTATTTGGCAGAAGAGGACCGGGACGCCGTCGTATCTCGTGGTTGAAAAATCTCCGACAATGGTTTGGGATGACCTCAGCGGAGCTGTTTCGCAGAGCAGTCAACAAAACCATGATAGCCTTGATGATCGCCAACATCCGGACCGGATAAGGCACTGAAGAAGACGATGGATAAAATAATAAAAAAAGTAAGAACTAAAAAAGAAAAACAACTTAAAATAATCTGCTATTCAGACGACGCAATACTACTCTCTCAAAGTGAAGATGATTTACAACGTATGCTGCACCAATTTAATGTAACCGCCGGAAAATTTAACATGTTTATTTCCCCAAAAAAGACAAAATGCCTGTTTACAACAGCAAATTTACTAAGATGTAAATTGGAGCTGAAAGATCAAATAATAGAACGAGTGATGGAGTTTAAATATCTAGGCATCACATTATCTAGCTACAGATAGCTCGAAACCCAAGTGGAAGATCAAGTGAATGGAGCAATTAGAGCCGCAGGCTGCCTAAATGAAACAATATGGAGAAAAAAAAATATGGGGAAAGAAACGAAAGGCAGAATTTACAAAATCTTACCAATAATGACATACGCGGCAGAAACAAGACCTGGTACAGAGAGGACAAAAAGGATTTTAGGAACACCAGAGATGAAAACACTTAGAAAAATTGATGGTAAGAAACTATGGGACAGAGCTATAAGTACAGATATACGACGTAGATGCAAGGTGGAGAACATCAAGAACTGGGTAAGAAATAGAAGAGTAAATGGAACGATCATATAAGCCGAATGACAACAAATAGTGTAGTAAAGACAGCAAGAGACGGTTCCCTAATATGTAGAAAGATGATCAGTAGGAAGACCACGAAAACGATGGAACGACAACTTACTGGAGACGCATTGAAAAACAGACAGAGTCATGTCTATATAAAAAAGAAGAAGAAGAAGAAGAAACATGAATAGGTTAACAACCCATATAACAACAGAATATTCTGTCCTTGTGACAAAGACATCTGCACGTAAATTATAAGTTACGCAACGTAGAATGAAAAGATCGTTGTTTGACATAACGTTGAGAAATAGAGTGAGAAACAAAGAAATTCGTAGAAGAAGAATGTCATAAAACACATTGCTAACATTTGATGAAATTGAGCAGATTGCTAGAGAGAAACATAATATATTGACCAAAAAAATCTTGGAATGGAAAAGAGGATATGTACTAACTGTATTGCTACGTGAACGATTATATACTGATGGTGATTATGTATACCATATATGTAAAATCTATATACACACAAACTTTGAAATCACGTCTTCGTGAATACGGATAGATTCGTAACCTCTTGAAGAATTTTTACAATCCCGTGCATCTAGAATTAGAAGAGACCTAGCGAAAGAGACTAGAGCCCAGGAGTTTCCAGAACCTTCCCGAGTACTGCTTTCTTTTCCATTCATCATAAGCTATAAAGCAGTCAGTCGGCGTCCCTGGTAACATTACTAAATAACGAACAATGCTTCCAGCACCAAGCGGGAATGAGAATGAGCTCAAGATGAACGACTCTTATCAAACACGGTTCTTTTCAGAGCTACTTCTTATGATAATCTTCATAATACTTCTTATGAATTGCTGATGACAATAAAAAAAAACATAGTTTACCATATGTATAAAACCTTTAAATACATATTCTGCGTCCAGGAAACTCATCGCGACCAGAAGGCAGAGACGACACGGCAGCGTTATTTTTTTAAAAAGAGGCCTGACTGTCAAAATAACCGACAGCACAAACCAGGACGGCGCAGAAATCCTCTCCGTCGGAGTCGACAATTGCACAGTCATCTCTGTGTACCTCTAGGAACGAGATTTGTTTCATCCGTCAAAAAACTTTTAATCCGCCATTCCGCACTTAGTCGTAGGTGACTTTAACAGCCATCACACAGCATATAGATATGTAGAAAGGGACAATTGCGGGCGGGCCATTGAAGAATAAGGGAAATGGCCTTCGCAAGTGCCTATCCTACGATCCTATCCCAAATACACTGCATTACCCAGTCAGTCGTAATGTAGACGTAGTAGAAAAAAAACGTACACGATAGAAGTCACGTTTTGAAGTAGGTTCAATTTTAAAAAACCAAATTAGACAGATATGCTTCCGAGATAGACCGCGCACTGGAGATCTCGAATCTATCCCAGAAAATTACGATGCTTTTATCGAAATAGTTCAAAAATCCGCCCGAAGACATATTCCTAGGGCCTGTAGGCAACGACACATCCGGGTTTTAATAACGATGGTCGCACTTACTAAATACATATTAGCGACTATTCGGAACCGACGCCTTCAGTTAGGAAACCATAGGATTCGGAGAAGATCTTATGAACACCGTAATTGATAGCAGGCAGCGAAAATAAATATATACGCTGGAGCAAATAAATATAACATACAGCAATGAGATCGCGTGGAACCTAGTCAAGATACTAAACTGTGAAATATAAAGTTGTGACAACCTCTAGTCTAATTACACTGGACCAAATCGCCCAACAACTACAAGTCAATAGGAAACCCAACCGGAGATCCCGCCCGGAAAGATAAAAAATGCTGTACAGTAACAAGATCTTACAAAGGTAGACCACCAAGAGGATTACTAGAGATGAGACGAATGGACAACATTAAAAGAATATTGATAAAATGAAAGGCAGATATCGAGCACAGTTTTAATAATTAAATCTTGCCCAAGTAGTTTCGCTTCCTAGAGCATCTTTAGGGGCATCTGAAATAAGCCAAGAGACGTTTTTTTTTAATAAAGAAATTAATTAACTTCGATAAAAACTCGAAGTTATTGGATGATAAAAGTTTTTTTGTGATTAACGTTTTAGACTTACTTCGTTAATTTTGGGCTATCCAACAATCTCAGAATGTCATAAACATAAAATTATACATAACACTACACTAAATAAGGACAAAAAAATAGACGAAGCTACATTCTGGTCGGCAACAGGAGAGATAATGGCTCCCGGTATTAACGGAAATGTTAAGGTGACATGTGACATATGACAGCTTGGATGGGCAGTCACAATCATGGAGATGTGATCTGCACATTTCAAAATTCTATGTAACTAAGCATTGACCAAAGGTCCAACTGATACTACTATAGGAAATCAACTGATGAAATATGACATATAGAATATTTTAATTAGATTGCATAATCCAGATCTCACACTTAAATCTGTCTATAATAATTAGGGTGTTAGTTTGTGAGCAACTGAAGTGGAGATTAAGTATGAATACAAGAAATAGACTAAACAATCTATTAAACAGTGGGTGGTTGACTACAATAAAAGGATCTATCAGGTACTATCAATACTGTACTCCAAAAAATACTCTATGGATACTATGTTTACATTACATTTACATTTTACATTTACAATTTACATTTACATTTTATGAGATGTAACATTATGGTCAATTTCAAAATAAACTTGTACCTGCTTACCTACAGTAATATGCGTTTAATTGTTTAGTAACGCTTGGAGTCAATGGTCTTTTTACGGTTCGTAGAGCATCTATCATCGGTCTACATTGCCTAACGGGTATACAGTTACCAGTTTCTCCAGTTGGAGTCCGACAAGCTTGATTAGCATTATCCCAACCTAAAATTTTAAAATATTTTTTGAAAAAAAAATGTAATATATTAGAAATAATTTGGAAACTATGAATTTTGATATTCATAGAAACAGAAAAAAATACTGTAGGTAATAATATGATATATTTTTATGTTTATGGATGACAGTAATTGCCAATGTTACTATAAAATAAAAGAAATTGGACTTCGTAAGTGCCAGGGTATCACCAAAATCACCGAAAGTAGAACTGGAAGTATATATATGAACTCTTCTTGTAACTTTGTGTGAATTGATATATGATTTCACTAGTTTTGAGTTATTTTTGTCAAATTTCCGGTCATAACTTTTTAACCGGAGATGACATCACAACTGAAACAAAATATTCGAGATCGACTTTTCAATGCGCGTCTGATGATATAATATGCACTAAATCTGGGACAACAATGTGACATTTCTTCTTCTTCTTGTTCTTTTTTTGGGCTATGTACTATGTACAATACGAAATTACCCCAGGTGAGTAAAGTTATACACTCAGAATCTCACACTGAGCAATCAGTCAGCCTCATGGATTCTGGGGGAGACAAATATTCGACTGAATCTAATAAGAAAAACTACCCACCATTGCTTCGTATAGCCACTTACAATATAAGAACTATGAGGACCCAAGAACACCTTGACGAACTAGAACAAGAGCTCTCAAATATCAAATGGGATATAATTGGACTGTGCGAAACTCGCTTACCAGGAAAAGCATGTACCATCTTAAAATCTGGTCACAAACTATACCAGAAAAACTCCGTAGAAAATCATCACATAGGCGTGTAGCGTTCCTAGTAAACAAACGAACTCCCTATAAAATAACGAAGTACTGTGCTGTATCAAACAGAGTCATATATCTTGTCATCGCTTTAAACAGCAGATACAGCTTACAGTTAATACATAGATATGCACCGACAAGAAACTCAACAGACGAGGAAGCTGAATCATTCTACGAGGATCTGACAACAGCAAGGAACCAAGAAAAATCACATTTCGTAATAATCACAGGAGATTTTAATGCAAAAATTGGTACAAAAGAAGACGGCGACACACAATATATCGGTCGCTTTGGGCTGGACAACAGGAATGAAAGGGTGAGATGTTGTACAACTACTTAAACAACGAAAATTTATTTTGTCTCAACACTTTCTTTAAAAAATCTAAACAACGTAAATGGACATGGATCAGCCCAGACAAGAAAACTAAGAACGAAATAGACTACATACTCTCCAATAACAAAAACATCTGCACCGACGTGACAGTACTAAACAAATTCTATACCAGGAGTGACCATAGATTGGTTAGAGCGAACATTAAAATACAGACGAGAGTAGAACGAAGCAAACTTATTAAACGAGAACGATACCCAACCACCGATGTCCTGTCTCAAAAACAAACGGAATACCAAAAACAACTAAGCACAAGACTAAAATCAATAGAGACACTGAAACAATTGGATATAAACGGACTAGCCACTAAAATAAAAGTAACTGTAACAACATCGGTTAAGAAAATATGCTCAAACACGAAAACAGCCAAAACATCTAAACTCCAACCTAATACAATTAAACTACTCCAAGAAAGACGAAACAGAACAGATCGAACTTCGGACAGCTTTAAAAGTTTAAACAAAAATGTGAAGAAAGAAATCAGGAACGATCATAGAAACTATAATACCAATCTAATAAAAAATATAATACAAGATAACTGCAACATGAAAGTACTCAAAGCAAAAAACTCAAGCGGCACAACAAAAATCATAGAAATAAAAAATGAGAAAAACGTCACCGTCAGAGACAGAAAGGAAATAAACGAGGCCATTGAAAAATTCTACACTAAACTATACTCGGTAAATACACAACCACAACAAGGACGTACTCAACGAACTATAATTAACACCGGCTCAGAAGAAACACCGGACATAACCGACTATGAAATAAAAATGGCCCTAAATCAACTTAAAACGAATAAATGTCCGGGAGAGGATAAGATTACAGTTGAAATGTTGAAAATTGGTGGCAGAAAAATGGAACAGGTATTAAATGTTTTATTTAATAAAGTAATTGATGAAGGAAAGATTCCTCAAGAATGGTACAACTCCGAGGTCATTTTATTATTTAAGAAAGGAAACAGAGCAAACATCGAGAATTACTGACCAATATCCTTGCTATCACATCTGTATAAATTACTAACAAAAATCATAACCAACCGCCTAATACATAAGCTCGATTTCTATCAACCTATCGAGCAGGCTGGATTCAGAAAACATTTTAATACCATAGACCACTTGCACACCGTAAGAACACTGATAGAAAATTGCACCGAGTATAATGTTCCAATTCATATGGCGTTCGTCGATTTTCACAAAGCATTCGATTCCATGGAATTATGGGCAGTGCTTGAATCTCTAGAAAATGCATGCATAGATTCAAGATGCATAAACATAATTAAAAACATATATGAAAATGCCACCATGCATATAAAGCTGGACGAAAGCACAAAAACTAATCCCATAAGACTACAACGGGGAGTAAGACAAGGAGACACCATCTCTCCCAAACTATTTAACCTTGCTCTAGAAGATATTTTTAAGAAACTGGAATGGAACAATAAGGGTATCAACGTCGACGGATCATACTTAAACCATTTGAGATTCGCAGATGACATAGTTTTAATAGCCGATAATATCCAAGAACTAAATGATATGTTACAACAATTAAATGCAGTTTCAGGAGCGGTAGGCTTAAAAATGAATTACAGCAAAACAAAAATACTGAGCCGAGACCAGACAAATATAACAATACAAAATCATACCATAGAAAATGTGGAATATTATGTATATCTAGGTCATGTTATCAAACTAGGAAAATCAAATCAAGATGCTGAAATTAAAAGAAGAACACAACTGGCTTGGGGCGCTTTCGGCAAACTAGCACATATCTTGAAAAACACCTCCATTCCTATAAACTTAAAGAAAAAGGTGTATAACACATGCATACTACCTGTTTGTACCTACGGCTTGGAGACAGTAGCACTTATCAAAAAATCTGCCAAAAAATTAGAAACAACGCAAAGAGCAATGGAACGAATCATGCTTGGAATATCACTAAGAGACAAGATTAGAAACACCGAGATACGACGTAGAACGAAGATTAGGGATATTGTGGAAGAAATTACAAAAATGAAATGGCGCTGGGCAGGTCACGTAGCCCGATATAATGACAACGGGTGGACACGGAGAATTCTAGAATGGAGACCAAGGACGAAAACAAGAAGCATGGGAAGACCTCAAAAAAGATGGGTAGATGACATAAGAGCAGTGGCAGGCAAACAGTGGATTCGATTGGCACAAGATAGAGAAAGATGGAAGCAATTGGGAGAGACCTACATTCAGGGGTGGATGGAAAATGGTTGACAAAGAAGAAGAAGACAATGTGACATTTAAAGTTACAACCTTTTAATTTGACGTGATATAAAAAGTTTATCTGTTTCCCGTCTGGTTACGGGCGTCAACAGGACTTCCGGTGGCAACTCTGGATTAGGAAGTCCGAGGTCAAACTTCTCACCATTAAAACGATTTTGGGTGATTTCATTGGATACCTCATTTGTCATTATATCTGTTATAATAACAGATGCGATGTGTTGACGTACGGACAGACAAATATATATAATTCAAAATTTTCACTTTTAAATGTTGTTGAAAACGGATGAAATCAACAAAAATATATGCCGAAATTGCTCACTAATTTTACAACACATTTCCGGATTTAACGACGATAATCCAAAAAACAATAAGTGGAGTGTTATGACTTTGGACATAAATCATTGATAAACAATGACCTTAGAATAAACTAACTAATGATTCTAAATTGAAAGCATACTTAATTTACAGCACATTTACATACTTCCAGTAAAAAAGCAACTGGAACATTCGATGTTAGTCGATTCCTTTTCTCTTCCCTTCCTCTTCTTGGTTTTATTATTGTTACACTTATTAGTATAACATCATGATTTACAATATTGTATTTAAGTATGTATATAATTTCTTTAGTTTATTTGTTAGCTGATCTCCTTGTCACCATTTGAGGTTGAAAAAATTAATCCTTTATAAAAGGTATATAATTTAAAACCCCAATCGGGTTATATCACAAAACGTTTTCGGCATCTACGTTCCATCATCAGTGTCTAGGTGTACATGTATTGAACCACTAAATAAATGGGTAAAAACCTGTAAAAAGTTATATGTTTAAATTTAGTTATATATTAATAATTTGATCTTATATATTAAGATGTTAAAGTTACCAGTGGATTTGGTAACGTACGACTCACATAAAGTTGCTAGTCCTGAGACAAAGTGTCTACAAAGACTTGATGATAGTAACCTACAAAACCTATAAACCTTTGACCGATTTCAATAACTTCTCCTTTTCGATGGCTTCTCTCTTCGCTAATTTGACCTTCTCCAACATTTTGCTTTCCTCTTTATCTTTACGTTGCTTTTCTTCCATTACTCTCATTTCTTCCGTTTTCTTCAACTCAAACAATGCTATCTTTTTCCGAAGAATAAGCAATTTCCTGTATTACTCTTCTGCGACAATATCAGCTTTGAACACGTCCCTGTCTTTATCTTTGTCTTTGACTTTTGCATGTTTAGCAGGGACCTCGGGCGTTCTTGATCGGGATTTATTAGATTTATCTTTACTCCTGACTTCCTTTCAGTCCCGTTTCCGTTAAGAGAGGATTTAGACAAGGCGACGTAATCTCTCTAAAGGTTGTTAATCTAGCCCTAAAAGACGTCCTTAAAACTGCAAATTGGCATCAGCTTATTGGCAACAAGGAACTTGCAGACAGCCCCCAATACGTCTAAAAATGCATATGACAAAAACAAAAACAATGACAAATAATGAGATAGAATAACTTTAGGAATATATCTACCTAGGCCAAATTCCTAGACCAGAAATGACTAGAAGAGCATTACTGGTATGGGT